ACATGGATGATTCTGGGGAGCCCACTGGGGAGGAAAGCCTGAGGTGAGTGGCCAGTCCCTTTTCCCTGGAAGCTCTGGGATCTTTGTCCCTTCCCTCTTCTGACAGGTCTCTCCTCACAGGCCCCTCCAGGACCAGTCCCCTCTGCTGCCACTTCCAGAAGGTGGTCCTCCCCAGGGTCTTGATGGTCCCCCTGACCTTCTGCTTGAATCCCAGTGGCACCACTACTCAGGTAGGGACCAGCCTTTTCTTCTCACCACGTTCTTTCCTGTGCTTGCTCAGCTGAATGACTGACAGGTACAGTGGAGAATTGGTACACTTCAAAAGACACCTACTGGGTGTTGCACATTGCACACCGATCTGGGAACAGGCCTAAGGCTCAGCATTAGAGTTATAGAGATGCCCGCAAGGAGTTTATGGCCTGTGACAGAAATAGACAGAGATAAGAAGTTTTAGCTCGATGTGAGAGGGTCTCTAAAAGTGCCTTGCCCAGCATGCCAAGAGCCCCAGGGAGAGCTTCAGAGCCTAGTCTGCCAGGGTCAGAGGGTCAGGTACCTAGTAAAGCTGAAGATGAAGTTCAGGGGATTATCCAGAGAGGATGGATCCAGAGGAGGGTCAGGAACAGTAGGAAGGACATCAGAGGAGAGCCGTGTCCTAGAGGCCCAAGGAAGGGAGTAGTCAGTAGTCCCAACTGCCATGGAGGGCCCTAGGCATGCAGGGTCTAGGATTGGTGTGTACCATGTAGGCCAGTGGCACAGGTTGGGAGGATGCTGTGTCGGAGTCCAGAATCAAAGACGGTGGTTAGTGAGGAAGCCAGAACAGCACCTAGGCGCTTTGCCAAAAAGCTCAGCTAAGAGTCTGGGAGGAGGAGGTGGGCCAACAGCTTAGAGGGGTTTGGTGTGAGGGCTGAGACAGCAAAGCCAAGGGTGAAGGCAAAGGGGGTGAGAGGAGGCATGTGGTCAGGTTGAATAGGAGACCCCTGAGATGGAGGAAAGGGGAGATTAGTTGTATCTGTAGACATCCGTATACAGGATGAGGGCACTTGGAATCGTTTGGCTGAAATCTCAGTGAAGCCAGAAGATAAGTACTCTGTAGTTCGGGGAGGGCAAAGAGGGGGCTGCAGCCAAGCAAGTTGGTAATTAGCAGCCTGAGGTTTGGAATTTTCAGTGGCCCCAGTCCTGTTCTGATATGTGGATTTTCTCATTGTGTAGAACGCAGCTGCTGAGCACGGAAGTGGAGTGAGGTAGAGTGAGACTGCTTAACTGAAAGACTACTTATGGGGTCAGAGAGGGCATGAGAATATGGCAGTGACCATGACAGGCAGGTCCCTGACTGCCCTTAGGGAGCGTACCACACTTTGGTAGAGGAAACAAACATGTACATTACCTAGTGTGTTCAGAGAACAGAACGGAGGTGAGGATGGGAGGGCTAAGAAGAGGTGGGAGAAGTTATCAGAGGTGGACCCAGGGGCACTGAGGCCTAGAGGTGATGTGAGTCACACAGCAAGTCCAGTTTAGAATTGTTAGGACTGGGAGAACATGTGGGTAGGTTGGCCCAGAGAAGTGATGTGGGGAAATAGTGACCTTGTGAGTCCTGCCTCTCTTTAAAGTATGGTGCACTGAAACTTACGTTACCCCCACTCCGCCAGATATAATGGTCAGTCCTCAGTCCATATCCTGCTTGAACCAGCAGCTTTCGGTGTGCTGATCCCTCCCCTCTTTGAAGCACTCTCTTTCCTGGCTTCCGGAAGCCCACCCTCTCCTGACCTCTCTAGTTGTGCCTCCTCAATGCCCCAACCTGTCAACTTTGGCGTGTCCAGGGTGCTCTCATCTAATTTCATAGCCCTAAATCCCATTTCTAATTCTGATAGCCCCCAAGTTGCTAGCCACACTCCTTTATCCTGGTGCCTGCTCTCCATCTCCACCAGCAAGTTGCAGGGAAGTTTTCTAAGGGGAATCTCAGACTCAACAAGTTCCAAACTGAGCTTTCAACCTTTTCCCCAAACTGCTTTCTCCTGCACCCTCACTGTCACTATCCTTCCAATTATTCGGGCCCCAAACCTCAGAGTTTTCCTCGACCGTCACCCCCACCTCCCTTTCTTACATCTATATCTCTTGCATCAGTAAGTCCTTTCTGCTGTATCTTTAAAATCTTTAGCCCATGAGAAATCTCTTAAATAGCTCGTAATGTACATGTGTTTGATTCTGTATGGTCCTATATATTAATAACATATTTGTAATACAGAAATATGCTGCATATAAAAATATTCACGTGCAAAATATAGTTTTTCAGTATTTTTAATTTTATATGAGACAAAAGAATGAGGGGTGGGTGTTTATGGTAGATTGGGTGTTTGGGTAAGCCATAGTGTGTCTTGTGGGGCCAAAACACTCCAAGCTTCCGTGGAACTGCTCATCTAGCCTTCACTGGGCATTTAGATCCAGAGTATGTGCTTGTGCCCAGGGAGGGAGGGCGGTCGGGAACCTGGAGGTTTTGACTCCAGGAGGGGTGATTCTTACCTACTCTGACCTGCTCCCTGGGACCAGGTGAGGCTTCAAGCTCTGAGGAAGAGCCTCCATCTCCAGAGGATAAAGAGAACCACGCTCCGAGACGGGCTGGCCCGCATCTGCGGTTTGAGATCAGCAGTGAGGATGGGTTCAGCGTGGAGGCAGAGAGCTTGGAGGGTGAGTTTGGAGTAGTGGTGGCAGGGAGGGAAGGTGTCTCATAAAATACCATCCTGACTCTGCTGTGGCTCCGCCCTCTCCTTAGGGGCATGGAGAACTCTGATTGAGAAGGTGCAAGAGGCCCGAGGGCATGCCCGGCTCAGACATCTCTCCTTTAGTGGTAAGTGGGGGATCCACAGGGGCCCAGGGGGCTGGGATCACTTCCTGAGGGCAAGGTGGGCCACTGACATGACCTTTGATTTTCTTCAGGAATGAGTGGGGCAAGGCTCCTGGGCATCCACCATGACGCTGTCATCTTCCTGGCAGAGCAGCTGCCTGGGGCCCAGCACTGCCAGCACTATAAGTTCCGCTACCACCAGCAGGGAGAAGGCCAGGAGGAGCCACCCCTGAATCCCCATGGGGCAGCCCGTGCCGAGGTCTATCTTCGGTGAGAGGTCTGGGGTATGACGCCTGGGTTGGGGGAACCCTATGGACAGTCTCAAGGGTAAAAATTAAGTCTGCACAGGTGGGAAACAGGCCGGGGAAGAGATACTAGGCCATTCCCGGAATTACTACAGTTCATCTCAGAATGAACCTTTTAGTGCCCTTTTGCTTTGTCTCCATTGCAGTGGTTTTCCTCCCACTCTGCCAGCAGCAGGCCCAGGCCAAGAATAGGGGGTAGCACCTCGAAGGAATGGCTCTGAACCTCCCTCCCTTCTCTTCCTCTGCAGGAAGTGCACCTTTGACATGTTCAACTTCCTGGCCTCCCAGCACAGGGTGCTCCCTGAGGGGGCCACCTGCGATGAGGAAGAGGATGAGGTGCAGCTCAGGTCAACCAGGTATGGGGGCCAGGCCAGGGCGCAGGGGTGGTCTGGAAGGCCCCTAAAGAGGCTGACCGGAGGCAGAAGAGATAATTTCTGGGTACCAGCCTGTGTAACACTGTTGCCCCCTATCAGACGTGCCACCAGCCTGGAGCTGCCCATGGCTATGCGCTTTCGCCACCTCAAGAAGACATCCAAAGAGGCTGTGGGTGTCTACAGGTTAGTGGGGTTGGGGGGAAGATGCCCCTTGGGTGGATGACAGGTGCCCTGGTGTGGGGCTGCCTTGGTTTCTGTCCCCCTGCCCCCTGAGCTCCCCTTGCCCATCCTACCCTGCAGATCTGCCATCCATGGGCGGGGCCTGTTCTGTAAGCGCAACATCGATGCTGGCGAGATGGTCATTGAGTACTCTGGTATTGTCATTCGCTCTGTGCTGACTGACAAGCGGGAGAAGTTCTACGATGGGAAGGTGGGCTTTGCCAGGTCATGGGAATGAGGTGGGTGAAGCAGGGCCTACCCATGGGAACAGGGCACCTAACTGCCCCCACTTTGTCCCTGTAGGGTATTGGGTGCTACATGTTCCGCATGGATGACTTCGACGTGGTGGATGCCACAATGCATGGCAACGCTGCCCGCTTCATCAACCACTCGTGTGAGCCCAACTGCTTCTCTCGAGTCATTCACGTGGAGGGCCAGAAGCACATCGTCATCTTCGCCCTGCGCCGCATCCTGCGTGGTGAGGAGCTCACCTATGACTATAAGTTCCCCATCGAGGATGCCAGCAACAAGCTGCCCTGCAACTGTGGCGCCAAGCGCTGCCGTCGGTTCCTTAACTGAAGCTGTGGCTGCCCACGCCCCCCTGCTGCCATCTTGCCCCTGGTCTGGGGGCTCCCTTGTCCCTCCCAGAGCATCTCACCCCCACCCTCATGTTCAGGGTGGATGTGGGTGTGCAGGTGGCCAGGGCCCTGTCCCCACCCCTCCAGCCCACTCAGCAATTGCCCCCTCCTTGCCCTGGGGGCCCAGAATGTAGATATTGTACAAAGGTTTCTAAATCCCTTCTTTTCTATGCACTTTTTTATTTAAGAGGTGGGATCCCAGGTGGGAACCCCCCCACAATAAAGTCTGTCAATGTTTGGAGAGGTGGTCTTAGTTTGTATGGTACTGGGGGCATGTAGGAGCTCTTATTTCTCTGTGCCCCACACCCATTCTGAGCCAAGGAAGCCCATCAGCCCCAACAGGTGGGTGAGAGGCCATTATTTGAATCAGAAGTAAATTATGGGGTCTGTCGAGGCTTCAGAGCAACAAATGTTCTACATATTATAAATTAGAATCCAGCTGGGTGTCTGTGGATGAAGTCTCTTGGGTTGCCCAGAGGCACATGAAGCCAGCTCTCCCACACCTGGTCTTGTGTGGGACAGAATGGGCCCGTTTCGGGGGGTGGGGTCGAGGATGTCTGTTGAGTCTTGGCCCAATTAAGACTATTTCAAGAGGGCTCATAATGAGTCTAGGACACAGCAGGCACTTATTTCAAGGGAACCTTTACTGTAGAGTACTAGGCTGGGTGAGCCCCAGGTCAGGCAAGCTTGGACAGCACCTGCAGGGCATCTGCCCGTCCTAGCTGAGCCAGGTGTGTGCCAAGCTGGCCCAGAGAAGCGGAGGGCTCCCTTGCCACCACCATCTCAATCAGGGCACGCAGAGGCGAGTGACTAGGTCGCAGTGAGTAGGCAAAGGTGGACCAGGCAGCAGGCAGTCCATATCTTGCAGCCAGGTGTCGAGTGGTACCACAGGACAGTGGCCCACCTGGTCCAGGCTCAGGGTCCAGCAGCACAATCAGTTCCTCCAGCACCTCCAGTTCATCCAGGAGACGGGACAGGGGCTGTGATGCCAGATTTGGCAGCTCTAGGAGACAGAGGAGTGAGGGGGAGAATTAGGGGCTTCCAGTCCTTCCCCTTGGCATGTCGGGGACTAACCCCCCCAGGAGTGGAAGCAGAGAAACCTTCCATGAGTCACCTGTCTTTGATGTCTCCAGAGGGCCTTGAGAGGTGTTGGAGTCACTGCAAAGCAAGCCAGGATAGGGGTGGTAGGGGCTGCGCCTCTGCAGGGCGAACAGAAGGATGGCTGCTGAGGTCATGAGCAGAACCAACACCAGAGGCAGGGTAAAGATCAGCAGGGCCTGCCACTGCACGGTGTGCTCAGATGTCGGTGAGGGGATGGAAATTGCTGGTGAGCTGGGCTCCTGGGAGCTTAGGATGCTGGTTGTTTCAGGCTTTAGAAGGCAGGTCTCCTTAGCAGGGGCCGGCCTCTGGGAATAGGGGGTTGGAGTAAAGCAGGAGGCAAACCCTGCTCCTGCCCCCTCTGCCCAAATCTCCCATCCTTATAAGCCCTCCATAGAGCCACATTCCCACCTGATCCAGACCCCCATACTACTATAATCCTAGCTGTCACCCCCAGATACAATGCCCCCACCTCTATCCTCTTCAGTGGGGCTATACCACCACCTTTGACCCAGACTCTGCCCACCCAATCGCAAACCATGCCCTCCACACCCCACCCCACCTCTGGCAGGCTGAACCCTTGCCCAAGCAGCCCGACCCCGGACCAGCACCTCTCTGCAGCGCGGCTGGGTTCTCGCTGGAATGGGGGCCCTGGCTCCTCCGCCACAGAGGCTACATAGCTCTTCGTTGTGGGGGTTGCACTGCCCAGGAGGACACTTTTTGAAGTAGTGCGTTACGTGATCACCAAAGTCATTGAGCCCGCAATTTTCCGAAAACTCATAGTCTAGTTGGAGACAGGGTCTTATAAGTGGCTTCCAAGCCCCACCTCCTCTAAAAGGACCTTTCCCCTTTTGTCCTATCCCAGAACTTCTCATCCCACCCATCAGTGGGAAGTGCTCACCCCTCCATTCTCCCATCCCTACACTAGCCCTGCCAGTCTCTCTCAAAACCTCCTCTGCAGCACCACCGGGCATGGCTCAGCGATAGAGCATCGACCTAGGATCCAGGAGATCCAGGTTCGATTCCCGGTCAGGGCACATGCCCGGATCATGGGCTTGATCCCCAGTCGGGGGTGTGCAGGAGGCAGCTGATCAATGATTCATCACTGATGTTTCTCTCTCCCTTCCTCTCACTGAAATCAATAAAGATATATTAAAAAAAAACAAAAAACCCTCTCCATAGGCTCTGTACCCTTCACACCCCATCTGCTTCCACACTCTGCCCATGTTGGGATTGATCTGTATAGCTCACCCCTTCCTCACTGCCTGGATCCCACCTAACAGGCCACAACCCTTCGGTGGCCCTCATGTAACCCTTTTTCACAGGCTCAGCCTCCATACCTGCCTTATCATCACCCCAACTCCGAAGCAGGCCCCCCAAACCTTGCTCCTTCACCAGCTTCCTACCACCCCCTACTCCGCCCAAACATGGATATATACCCTGTCCCTTCTCACCTGGGCACGGGGGTGGCCCAAAGCGCTGCAGGCAGCTTCCACAGCACAGGTTGTCAGGGTTCCAGTACTCGAGCCGGCTGCAGTGCTGGGAGGCTTCCTGAGGCACCACCTGGGCCAGGAACAGCACAGCAGACAGGAGGCGTTGGGGCCCCATCCCAGCAGGCAGCCTGGGGGACCACGACCACAGGGTTTCCGGCCAAGCACCTTTGCCACTTTAACAGGAAACCAGGGAGAAGGAAACAGTGGATGTGGGGGCATAGGACCCCCAGGCTCCTGCAAAAGCCAGGAATCTACCCCAAGCTCCCAGTCCAGCTCCTGGACCATTATCAGAGGCCACAAGGCCTTAAGATTGCTGGAACAAGGGCTCTGAAGCCAGACTGCCTGGATTTCATATCCCATCTCTGCCATGTTCCATCCATATAGTAGGAGAATACCACCTGTCTGATAGGGTTATTGTGGAGAATTAAAACTCTTACTAGAGTCAACTGTAACTGAAAAGTAAAAAATGATTAAAAAAAAAATCCTTACTAGAAATGAAGCTCCTTAGGACAGGACCTGGCATATGGTAAGCTTAAGTATTAGGTATTACTGACTCCCATTTCAGGGAACTGGGGATGGAGGACCCAGCCCTCATCTACTGAAGATTCCCACTCAACTTCGAGCAACCTTACCTTAACTTCTAACCCCAATCTCTTCAGTACTGGGATTCCTCCAATCTGCCACAACCAGGCGTCTTCCCCTTGAAAAGCCTCAGATGGATGTACTGAAGTTTCCAGCACGAAGGCGCCCCCACCCCCAACAGTCCCACTTGGGGGTTTCTAGGGCGTTGGACTCTGAGTCTGATAAAATTTAAGTTCTTCGGCTGTAGTTGTGGCTAGAGCCCCACCTACTTCCCCTTTTCGTCAGATGTGGGGGTGGAAGGAAACTCCAACCCAAGCTACGCTCAAAGCTTAAAATCTGCAATACAGAACTTTATTCAGGGTGGGGTGGTAGACCCCAGAGGCTGTGGAAGATGGCCCTGTGGAGTTGGGGGAGCTTTGAGAAGAGGTCCTGGCCAGGAACACTTCTACCCATTAGGGGTGGAGGGCAAGAGGGCCAGGATCTCAGAATTGGCCATGCTGGTGGTCTAGGGGATGTCGTGGGTTTCTTCCTTGGGAATGGTGCCGGGTATGGGGATAGGAGTGGGGAGAGGTGGGTTAGAGGCATGGGGCAGAGCAGGTGATGAAGTAACTAGAGTTCCTGGGGGTGGTCTAGGATAGGTGCTCAGGGGCCGACCTCAAGATTAAGAGATCCAAGCTGGTCTTGGGTTTGGGATTCAGGGTGGTTTGGGGGTTGGGACTTAGATGCTGGTCTTGGAACGGGGCTCAGTGTTAGTCTTAGGATACCAAAGGTTTGAGATACTGTTATTGACGCAAAGGATCAGGTTCATCTCAGGATATAGGAGCCTTAGGGTATGAGAAGTCTTGGCAGGCTGGTCCTGAGATACCTGCACCTGGGTTCCCACCCACAGAGCGGCCACGGGAGGTTCCGGGAGATGGGTTGCAGGTGCATGAAGTTGCAGAAGCCACCGTGGGTACATTCTCTGGGCTGAGGATAGATGAATGGAGGGGGCCATTATCACTGACAGCCCACCAACACACACACACACAGGAGTCTGGGACTTCAGGTGCCTATCCCGCCCCTTTACTGCCATACCCCATTTCATACTGCAGATAGCATGACTCCTGGATGCCGGTGACAGGAGACAGCTCAGCATGCAGTCTGCCCATTGAACCAGCAGTTATTGAGTTCATCTACTGCCCGATCAGCATCCTCTTCACTCGGAAACTGAGGGGGAAGTCGGTAAGGGTCAGCATTCAGATTCAGAAACCTCAGGGGATTAGTTAGCAGCTCTGGGGCTACACTGGATTTAGTGATGGACCTCAAGCTATGAGGCTTCAGTGGTGACCTTTAGGTATTGAAATGCCTCTACCTCTGGGCTCTAATGGGAGGAAAGCAGGCACCTTGACATAGACATTGCCCACGGGGTGGTCCCCTAAGTTCATCTTTTCAATATCCCCATACTTCTGCAGTTCCATGAACACCTCCTGCGAAGACCAGGAGGTGTTCAGCTGAGTTCCTGGACGACAAAAAACTCAGCCCACCTCTGCCAACCCTCACCTCAAAGTTATCATAATGTTCTTGCACCTCCACGTCGCTCACATGACCTGAGGGGGTAGGGTGGAATCAGAGAGTGGCCTGATGAGGGCTGTCCGGCTTGCCTCCAACAAACGGTCCCTCAGAGAGCAATCCCTTTGCAGTTTGGGCGGTGTTCCGAGGACTCCTATGCAGGTTGAGCAGCACTACGGTCTGAATAGAGTTAAGAGGGGCAGGGCCTGAGCAAAGAGGGCAGGGCTATGTACAAAGGAGTTGGGGAAGCCTCTGGAGTGCATCAGCCAGGCCTGTCCCTAAGGAAACCAAGAAGAGGGAAGACCGAGAAGTGAAAGACAACCCAGGGGTGTAGACCGGGGGAGGAACTTGCAAAGGTCCGACTAGGGAAAAGCCGGTCGGCAGGGTGGGGTGGGCCTAAGAAATCCGGAAAAGGCGGGACCTCGTGACGGTGGACAACAGAGGGGAACGGCAGGGAGGCGTTAACCCCTCAGGCGCCGTGCCAAGGCTCACCTGGCTGAAAGTTGGTTTGTTGTGCAGCCGGGAGCAGCGGTCCCCATGCCGGCAGGCCCCGATCTTAAAGTAAAAAGAGCAGTTAACCCTGGAAGAGGTGCAAAGACATAGGTGAACCGAGGGCGGGATACCCCAGAAACACCGTGCCACGCGGCCCAGCAACCCCGATGGGCCCGTTCTCACTTGTCTTTCTCAGTCTCGAATATCGAAGCTAAATATTCAGCCATTTTTGCCCGAATCCTCCAACTCGGTGGGCCCTAAGTCACTTCCGTTGCTTAAGAGCATTGGGAAGCGTAGTTCTTCCCTGCCTTCGGCACGCGCTCAGAAACCCCCCTAGTGCGCTTGCGCGCTGGAGGCCTGCGCCTTATCCGCAAAATCACCGATCGAAATTCCCTGAAAGCGCATGCGTGCATCGCTGCCTATCAAAAAAGACTACAAACTCCAGAGATACTTGCGGCATCTCACGCAAACTTCCGTAGTTGAAAGCGGCAAAGGCATCCACCCCTCGGAAGTAAACTCCACTGGTGAGATGGGGGACGTTTCACGTACCCCTATAAACGTAAAGAGCGTCTCAACGCAATCAGCTTGCTGGTGTGGGCGGGGGTGCCTTACTTTCAGCAAACGCACCCTTCAATTTATCTCTGTTTTGTCGTAAAAGGGGCGTGTTTCGCGATCCTTGCATCTCACTGTGTGAAGACTTGGGTCTTGCCCCTCAGACCCTCGGGACGACCCGGCCCCAGCGCAACTATGAACTTGGAGCGGGTGTCCAACGAGGAGAAGTTGAACCTGTGCCGGAAGTACTACCTGGGTAAGGGCGTCTCCTAGGGTCCCAGGAGACGAGAGGGGACGGGAATAAGGTCTGGGGTGCTGGATTCTTGGATCTAAGGGATGAAGCGGCTGGGAGCGCTGGCTCTGAGGGAAGGGCCTGGGTCCTGAGGAAGAAGAAGGCTGGGCCTTAAGAGCTTCTTGGTCCCAAGAGAGGAGGGGGAGTTGGGGACTGGACTCCTGGATCCTGAGAAAGTTGGCTGAGGAATCAGATTCCTGGATCCCAGGGAGGACCTTCAATACCTAAGTCCCTAATAGCAGAGATCTCAATTTGAACTTGGGTGTGGGAGAGGATCTTCCAAATAAGTCCTCTAGGTGGGCGTTGGGGAGAATACTCATTGCCTTATGTCCCAGTTTGGTTTTTTTCTCTTTAGGTGGGTTTGCTTTCCTCCCTTTTCTCTGGCTGGTCAACATCTTCTGGTTCTTCCGAGAGGCCTTCCTTGTCCCGGCATACACAGAGCAGAGCCAAATCAAAGGCTGTGAGTCCAGGGCACTGTTGAAAGGCGGCCACTGGGGAGGGGGGCGATGTGGAGCTTTGGTAGGATGGGATGATGGAAGTTCCAGAATTCCAGGGGTCTGTGGAAGAGAAGAGAAAACTGGTCCGGAGGTGATCAGAGAGCAGGTGGAAGCCAACTTTCCCCACTCCTGTTACCTCTTACAGATGTCTGGCGCTCAGCTGTGGGCTTCCTCTTCTGGGTGATTATACTCACCACCTGGATCACCATATTCCAGATCTACCGGCCCCGTTGGGGCGCTCTTGGGGACTACCTCTCCTTCACCATACCCCTGGGTACCCCATGACAACTTCTTCAGCACAGGCTTGGGACCTGATCAAATTCTCCCAGGATGGACTCCTCTACTCTGAGCCCAATCTCAAGCCCCTAATACTGTTCCTGTCTCCTATATACTGTTGACATCCCCCAATAAATGACCCTAATTCTCTATGTTGACTTCCTGGGATCTTTTGGACATTGAAACAGAAAATGATTATTAATAGTCAGAAACATTCATTGAATGCTTACTTTGTTCCAGGGTTAGTGCTTCACATGTTATGTGCATTTTTTCACTGACTGCTACTCAGAACCCCCTGAAATAGGAACTATTCTGCTTTGGAAACCTATTTTACAGATGGGAAATCTGTAAGAAAGGAATAATGTTTCTATTACTAGGGGCTGCTATCCTGTACTGGTAGTATGTGAGTTTGAAAACATTACTTTCCCATTTGGCCTAAGTATTCTCATCTGCATAGTGGACCACAGTGCTACTGCCTGGAGTTTATCTGGGTCAAGACATACGCGGTAAAATGAAGTTTCCCATTTTCTGAAGGAGATGTCTGCTTTATTAGAGAAAGCTTCCTTAAACCAAACTATTTAAAATTTCAGGGTTTTATTGTTTACCCCATCCTCAAAACGTAAACTCTATTAGGACAAATATTTTTGTTTATTTTGTACACTGCTGGTCCCCAATGCCCGTAAGAGTTACTCGCACACTAATATTTGCTAAGGGAATGAAGTTGTGCCTGAAAAGAGATTAATAGGTAGCTGGCACCTAGCGAGTGCTCAGTTAGAGGGAACGAAGCCTAACTCCAGACTTGTCTTCCAATTCGGAGCAAGAGGTACTTCCACAGTTCAATAAGTACCGTTAATACCTAAGTGGGTTTTATTCAGAGCTACAAGTTCCGTGAGTCCTCGCGATGCGCGGATCCTGTGTCTCCCACCGTGCCTCGCGCGGCGCAGGCGCTGTTACTCCGGCTGAGTCTCCTGAGAACTACACCTCCCAGAAAGCGTTCCGGGATGTCGTTGGTTTGTTTCCGGAAACGGGTCCTCAGCAAGGTGGGGCTTAGAGCTAAGAGCAGATGGCGGTAGCTGTCAATTGGTCAGGGCTTAAGATCGACGGTTGCACTGACTAATGGGGACGAGCGACTGCCGGTGGGGGCGGAGCACCAGAGGGGAACTAGAGGTGGTGGCTGCGGCGGCAGTCCCGGTCCGATGCTGCTCAGGGCGGAAAACCTCGGGCACACGAAGCTTGTCTTTAGACCAATCTCCGTCTGCCTCCGGCCTAGACTTGTGACCCTAGGCCCTTTTGGGCTCCTCGGACCCAGCTAGCCAGACCCCAGACCCGAACCATGTTCCCGGTGAAGGTGAAAGTGGAGAAATCAGGTGAGGACTCCGAGATCAGGGGCCCGTAGAGGAGCACGGGACTGATCAGGGTATGGGAGTCCCGATAGACAGGGTTGTTGCGACTCGACTTCTCCTTGCAGCGCTTCTGACTATCGCAGTGTCGGGCATCGAGCGATTTCTGCCACCTGCATACCTTTCCGGTCTTTGCTCAAGATAGCTTTGAGATTGAATGGTGGTGGCTTGGGCAGTGTGGTGCGGTAAGACATGGGATTCCAAGCCCAGTGACTCTGAGAAGGACTCTTTTCTTGGCTGTACCTCAGTTTTTACATTGCCAGCGGTGGTTATGAGTCAAGCATTGTACTCAGTGCCTGAAGTACAAGGAAGTTTTTACTCCTGGCAGTCACTGTATCCCAAGAATCCTAGAAATCGGAAATGTGGTAGATGGGGAAACAGAAGCTGAGAGAGAGGAAGTCATTTTGGTTTGGGGCTGAGCTCATGGGAACCCAGGACTGGCATGTTAGGGCGGTGGGAGAGGCACAGGATACAGGCAAAATATAATAAAATGGTGTAGGATGTTAGGTGGTATAAGTGGTAATAAAATGAAGCAGGAGAGAAAACGTGAGATCTGGAGTGAGGCAAGGTGAGGGAGAGAGCCATGAGAATATGTGAGTGAACAGCAAGTGAGACAAAGGAAATAGCTTTGAAAAAGCCCTGAGGTGGAAGCCTTGTCTGGCCTGTTCCAGGACCAGCCAGGAGGCCAGTGTGGCTGGAACAGAGTGAGTGAGGTAGAGAGTGTGAGGAGATAGAGGCAAAGAGGGGAGGGGAGAGGAACAGATCTTGTGGGCCCTGGTTAGAACTTTGGCTTTTGCTCTGAGGGAAATGGGAAGCCAAGGGAGGGTTTTGAACTGAGGCGTGAGTTAATAAAGATGCCTCTCAAATGGAAAAAAAAAAATTGTGGGTGGAAAAGTATAGGGGTCCTGACCACGATGATGGTGTGGGTAGGTCGGTATGGAGGCTTGTGAACACCAGGCTGAAGAGCTCAGGCTCTGTCCTGGGGATGCTGTGGAGTCATGAAGGGTTCTAAGGGCAGGATCAGGATCAGGGTTGGTTTTAGGAAGATTTCACTGGCCACCTTGTGGAGGGTGGATCAGAAGGGGAGACTGAGGTTAGGAGCCCAGGGGAAGAAGGAAGGAAAAGGACCAGGGTGGGGAGGGGAGGGTTGGGATAGGTGGGAGAAAAACTCAGGAGGCTAGGTGGACAGGGGTTGATGGGTTGGAAAGGAGGAGGGAGGGGGTGTCCATGTTGAGTCCCAGGAAGGGACTGGGGGACAGTGGGGCTACCCTGAGATGGGGGCAGGAAAGAGGGTAAGTTTAGAGAAACACTGAGGCCAGTGTGGGACCCAGTAGGAGGAAGGAGCTTGTGCAGCATCCAGGAGGAGGTGTCCAGGAGTCCATGGGATCCCAAGGTCTGAGGTTCAGGAGAGAAGTGGAGGGTAGGGAAAGAGATGTGGGCATGATCCATACCTTGGCTCCTGAACAAGGCTTTTTGCTAGAATCCCAGCTGCTCCCACCCCCCTACCCTGTCTCTCCTCTGAGTGATGTCAGGAATCCCTGCATCTTCTGGTCTCCTCAGGAAGTCCCAGGGCTGGTCAAAGCATATCCCCAAGTGTCCTTCCAGGCTCTGAGCACTGAGCCAGAGCACATACTAGTTGGAAGAGGAGAGCAAACACCTCCCAGGGTGAGAGGAGAATATTTATAACATCATTAACTCCTTAAGTTCTGTGATGATGGGAGGCAAATACATAGGCTGCAGGCATGTGACAGTGGGCAGACTGCTGAAGCAGTGAGCAAGAGCTCTGGGTTCCTGAGCTGTCCCACCTAAGACAAGTCACCTTACCTCATTGATCAGGAAAGTGGGCCCAGATTTTATTTCCCGTGTGGGGGGAAAAAGCCAAAAATGGGTATTTGGGGTGAAGTCTCCCAATTAAATGTTGTGAGCTGATTCAGATTTAATTTGGATTTAAAGTAACACCACTGCCTTATCCAAACGAAGCATATCTGGGGCCTAGATTCTGCACCCAGTTGGAGTCCCTGCCTTTTAATTTCAGCTGTGGAGCCAGCTGGCCTGGGTGCAAGTCCTTAGCCCTGAAATTTCCTAGCTGTGTGACTTTGGGCAACTACCTGACATCTCTGTGCCTCAGTTTCATGATCTATAAAATGGCGATAAAAATCATATGTACCTACCAGTGTTATTGTGAGAATTCAGTGGGTTAATATGTGTGATATGCTCGGAACAATGCTTGGCACATAATAAGCACTGTGTGCATGTTACTTATTATTGCATTTTGCTAAGAGATTCACATACAACATAGGTTTATTTAAATATCAGAGCAGCCCTAGCAAATAGGTGTCATTTGGAGACCCATTTTTCAAGATGAGGAAATGGGCTCAGTGAGGTAAGGTGACTTGCGTTAGGTGGAACAGCCCAGGAACCCAGAGCTCTTGCTCATTGCTTCAGTAGTCTGCCCACTGCATTCTTAGCATGCCTAGGCCTGGCCATAGGATTGGCTGTGCATGCCGTTCCACAGCCCAGTTGGCTGCCCACCTGCTTGGGCCTGGGAACTGACTCCTGCTTGGTACCCTCTTCCCCAGAGTTGGAGATGGCCAAGGCCCGGAACCAACTGGATGCTGTTCTGCAGTGTTTACTGGAGAAGAGTCACATGGACAGGTTGGGACCTGGACCGGCATGGGGTCAGAGAGGGTTGGGGACCCTGGCAGGTTGGGCCCTCTGGTCCTGGGTAGATCTGGGTGGGACCCCAGAACCTGGCTTAGGGAGGAAGGAGCCCAATGGAGAGGCCACTCATTGCCTTCCCACTTTGGGCCCTTGGAACCCTAAGCCCACAGTTCTCTTCTGCTACCAGGGAGCGTCTGGATGAGGAAGCCAGGAAGACCCCCTCAGACACCCACAGCAAGTAAGTTTTGTTGGTGGAATCCGTATCTGAGGGCTTGTAGTGAATGGCTTCACTCACCCAAGCACTGACCGCTCTGCCCTGTACTTCCTCCACCACAGTTTTAACCACTCTATGTGTATGAAACCCTGGGGCAGCAGAAACTTAGGTCCCCTCATGGTTGGCAAATAGAGCCCCAGGGGTGTGGGTGGGACACAAAGCCTACAGGGTTAGTGGAGTCCATGTGAGCATTTCAGGCTTGATCTCAGTAGCCCTATGGTGTCCTTTGGGGAGTTTTGAGCAAGCACTTGTTCCAGGGTCAGCCTGCTGATACCCTGTCTCTCCCCACAGGGATTGCTCCATTGTGGCCACCGGCAAACGGTAAGGTGGCAGGGGTTTCAGCCAGGTGACGAGAGGTCCCCAGCTCTGGTCCTGATGTTCTCCCAACCCACACAGGCCATCAGCCCGCTTCCCACACCAGCGGAGGAAGAAGAGGAGGGAGATGGATGATGGGCTGGCTGAAGGAGGGCCACAGCGATCTAGTGAGTAGGTGGTAGCCCTAGAGGGCGGTCAGCGATAGGGGGCTATGTAAGCATGTTCACATACCTCCCGCTCCCACCACCCTAGACACGTATGTGATTAAGCTGTTTGACCGGAGTGTGGACTTGGCTCAGTTCAGTGAGAACACACCGCTGTACCCAATCTGCCGTGCCTGGATGCGCAACAGCCCCACAGTGCGTGAGCGCGAACGCTCACCCAGCTCACCGCTGCCCCCACTGCCTGAGGATGAGGAGGTGGGATGGGTGGTAGGCCCCTGCCCAACAACCAGGGAGGGAGTGGGTAGATGGTCACACGGTATCCTCCTTGTAGGATAGACAGGCACAGATTTGTGTGTCCCTTAAATGTCTCCTGGATCCAGTGAGACACACAGATATGAACCCTTAGACTGAGGGTATAGATAGAGCTCACCAGAGCAGACAGACATGGTTAACTGTTCTGGGAGAAAAAGGGACAGAATTCACCTGGGCAGATATGTGTGACCTCTAAGATCGGGATCCCCAAGAGCTGGGGGGCTGGAGAGGGGTCTTTAGAGTAAACAGGTGTAGCCACCTGATCTAAGGGAGCAGATGGGGATGTCCTGGGCTATGCAAGCATAGATGGGAGTCTGTGGTGTGGCTGGGCAGGGGTGGATGGGGATCCCTGGGCTGGACATGAGAAGACAGGGATCCCTGGGGCAGACAAACCTGACCCCCAAGCTGGGTAAGGTCCCCATCCTTCAGACGTGACTCCTAAGTACAGGACCCTGGTGAGACCCTTATGTTTGTTGTCACAGGCAGGAGGGGTAAAATGTATACCCCTGGCCCTGGGCTCTGACTCTTTGGGGCCTGGTATGGGGCTCTTGTGTCCCCAGGGTTCAGAAGTCACCAACAGCAAGAGTCGTGACGTGTACAAGTTGCCTCCTCCCACAGCCCCTGGGTCACCAGGAGATGCCTGCAGATCCCGAATTCCATCCCCACTGCAGCCCGAGACACAGAGTACCCCTGATGATGAGGTGGGTCTGCAAGGCTTTCCTGGGGCTATGGGACATATGTTGTGGGGCTTGGGCATGGCCACCCAGCCTAATTTGTCTGTCCACACAGCCCTCTGAGCCTGAGCCCTCACCTTCCACACTCATCTACCGCAACATGCAGCGCTGGAAACGCATCCGCCAGAGGTGAGCATCCCCAGCCTGCTTGTTCCTCTGTGGCTTCTGCCCCAATTGCTGAGTCCTCCCTCTGGTTCCCCTCTCCCACTGCAGGTGGAAGGAGGCATCTCATCGGAACCAGCTTCGTTACTCAGAAAGCATGAAGATCCTACGGGAGATGTATGAGCGACAGTGATGTTCCCCTGACCCCACCCCACCCCAATAAACATTTCCCCTCTTCTCACTGTCCTCTGATTGCTCCAGCCCATCCTTCCCAGCCCAGACATAAAGCAGTTGGCACAGCTCTAGCATATTTATTGGGGGAGTGAGTAGATGGGGCAGTAGGGAATTCGCAGAGAAAGAAAGATTGTGGGGAATCAAAGAAAGTGGCTGCTGGGCTGGGTGTTGGAAAAATAAGAGGAGGCGTGTGGAAGGTGGATTGCCTGTGTTTAGAGACTTAGGGGTCAAGACTGGGGTGTCTTTGGTAAAGTTAGAGATGGCGGTTAGGACATTGTAGAGTCTGGGGAGATGGGCAGGGTATCTACATTTTGAGGTTGAGGGTCCTGGTTGGCCTAGAATAGGTTTCCAAGGGTGAAGGTCAGAAAAGAGATTCAGGAGTCTGAAGGTGGCTGGCTGAGGTTTCAAGTCAGAAGATGGGGGTGGGGGGTGGGGGGCAAGGAATGGAGTGTCTGGTTGGAATGAGGGGAAGACCAGGCCTGGATGGTCTGGTGTTGGAAGTCTACAGTCTGGGACTTTGGGAGTGGGGGGACTGTGCTTGACTGGCCTAGGGTGGGGACAGGGCTGTCTATATCATAAAGTGGTGTCAGAGTGGAGATGTTTTCATAGACGAGTGAGAAGAAAACGGAGTTTTGAGTGGGTTTATATGCCATGAAAGGGGTTAGTGAGGATGGGAGACTAGGCTGAGGGGTTGTGCTTGTAGGGTCTGGAAGCTAGGAAGGTGGTGTTGGGGTTTGAAAACAAGGGGGTGTGAGAGGAGGTCAGTGGGAAGGCCTAGGTTACCAGGGCTGAGTCTAGCTTGGAAGAGTCTGCACTGGATCCCAGATTGGGTGTGTGGGGGGTAGTCTTGGCAAGCTCGGGATATCTGGTTGGGCGGAGTCAGGTCGGCTTTAAAAGAGGTGGCTTGAGGTGGATCCCAGGGTTCAGGCGTACCCAGACCCCTATTTGGCAGCAGCGGGTGTCTGCGGCAGTGGGGCCTGGGCCGGCACTGGTGCGGCCTGGATGGACAGAACGCCCTCAGGGGACAACGCTGACGTCACAGCAGCAGGGTCCACTCCAGGCGGCAAACGATAGCGGCGGTGGAACTCTCGAGCCACATATCCGTGCTCATCCTGGAAGCAGAGAGGCTTGAATGTCCAGCCCTTCCCTATTGCTACCCCCCTCCTTTAGGCCAGCAGGTCCTGTCCCGGGTTCTGGCTCTGCCCCGGCCAGTAGCAGCGGGCTCACCGGGCGCTCCTCATGGCGAGCGTGCACCTCCACGTGTTCACCAACCACCTTGACGGCGATTTCCTCCGGCGAGAAGTGCTTGACATCCAGCAGCACCGAGAAATGCCCGGGGTCGGTGGGCACCTGCGCACAGCCCCATTGTCATGGAGCGGGGCAGGGTTCCCAGGACCCAAGCAAGGCCTCTCCCCTGTAGGTTCTAGTGCAGCTTACCCTGGCCTCCGAAACTGGGGAGCCCCCTTTCCTACTCGTAGCTCTGGATGGCCTCATCCTGATCCCAAATAACTAGTCTCATCATCCTCTTACCCAGAGGAATGAGGCACCCTTTACCTGCCAGGTCAGGGACCTCCGCCCTCACAAAGTGAGCGCCACCCCCAGTGTCAAGGACACCATAGTCGTGGACACTGACTCCTCAAGTCCTTTTATCTTAGAGCCCCTGAGGCCCTTACAGCCACACACGCTCCGCCCCCCCTCCAGAAAATGACAAGATGCTTCTCCCAACGCCAGAGTCGTAACCTCCCACTCGAGTCACGGGACCACAGCAGTTACTAGTACTCCTCCCCCACTTCTCAGAGTGGCCAGCCGCCTCCCCCTTTCTCAAGTCATAAGACCCTCCCCTCTGCCTCTCCAGGATACATGGGGTCACCCCATACAGTCTCCAAACTCTCATCCCCAAGAACAAAACATTTCCTCCCCGCAGGAGTCACTGGGAGCCCCTACGCCCGCCCTTCAAAATGACTGGGCTCCCATTCCCGGCCCCCCCCTCCAGATTCCCTGGGTTACTAGCCTCCTTCAAAGTCTCCAAAACACCTCCCTCAGAGTGACCACCTCACCCTATCAGTCCCTTTAGAACTGAGGCCCTCCTCAGACCGACGGGGACCTCCGACCCCTCTAATCTGGCCTCTAAGATTCCGTACTCGGGGAACTCCGGAAGCCCCTCTGAGTGGCCGGACTTTTCGTCCCTCCTAAAGCCAAGGGCATTCCCTCACCGCCCTCCGGGTGACCACGACCCCAAGCCTTGGAAGTGGTCGGGTTAGAGCCCCTCCCCAGGCCTGGCACCTGGGCGGCAGGCAGCGCCACGCTGGGGGCGCGCAGGTAGTAGGGCGCCAGCGCCGCGGGGCAGAGCGCAGCGAGCTCCGCCTCCAGCAGTCCCTCGCCGAAGCGCTGGTCGAAGAGGCGCCCGGGCGCCGAAAACCCGGGCAGCGGGGCCGAGGCGCGGCGCAGCCAAGACGGCTGCACGGGCACGGGGATCTCCATCCTACTCCTCCTCCGCTCTAGCTCTGCGGTGCTCCCGCGTGCGCCGCCGCTGCTTTATAGCATGCCCGGTGTCCGCCCCTCAGCGGGCCGCCCGGGGACACTCGGACCGCGGCCAGCCCAGCCACTAACAGAGCCTTATTTAGAAAGCCAACAATGACTTGGCCATTTATTAAGCTCCTGCTGGATGCCAGAGAGGTATCAAGATTCTCCTATTTCCCAAAGGGGAAACTAAGGCTGAGGAGGCGGAGCCTTGCCGGAATGGGGAGTACCGCGCGGCATTTGGGACCCAGGGCCGGAGAAACCCTCTGCAGAGCTCCCAGTCCCTTTACTCCACCCCCGCCCCGCAGGCAGCTCTGGAGATGACGCAGATGGCAGTCTTAAGAGCAGAATCCTGGGTACAGGGAATGCGGTGGACCAGCCAAACTGTCAGGAGGACAGAGGACAGACCCTATTTCCAGCCCCACCCCCGGCAAGCCGGGCCTAATTCTGTGCCTCTGACTCAGCCTCGGATGCGCGGGGTAGCGGGGTCTGCCAGGTGAGCAGCGGCCAGAGGACGTGGACAAGAAGAGTCCAGGCTGACCCCCCGGGGGCCGCGCGCCTGGCCCGAAATAGCTCGTTTTGATCCCGCCACCTGGCCAGGAGCCCAGACCTGGCACTTGGCGCAACCAGCTGCTCCTGCAGCAAGACGGAAGTAGTTAGGTGACCGGGCGGGACGGGCCTGCGGGTCCGACTGATGGAGGGACGTCCGTTAGAGGGGACAGAGAGTCTCCCCGATTCTCCCTGCAACGGGAAAAACGGCTGTTGGAATGGAGTCTGTACGAAATTCCCGCAGCAAGAGGGGGCGTGGCTGGAAGACCAGGCTGCCTGGAAGCAGTACTTTTAGAAGCCCCGCCTAACCTCGAGCACAGTTTCTCATTCTTTCCATTGGTCCACAGGCTTGCCAATTACCGCTGCTCTGGATGGTTCTCCAATCAAACACGCTCTCTCAGTCAGGCTGGCGGTACAGCCAATTGTGAGACACCCTCCCTTTGGCCGCTTTCCGATTTTTATCATTGGTTGCTTTGGAGGCTGCGATCTTCCCGCGAGGGCACCGGCGGGGAGGGGCGGGGCTGGTAGAGCATTGCTAAGCGACGGAGAGGCTTTGCTAAGCGACCGAGAGCCGCACGCTGCCGGAGGGGAGCAGGCGGAAACGCTGAGGCAGCTGCGGGATGAACCGCAGGTGAGTCCGATCCCTCTTCCGGGGACCACAGCAGGCCTGGGTAAGACCAGGGTGAGAGCAACACAACCTCGGTCAGGTTTGCCGGGGTCCGGAGTGGCTCCTCAGTCGCGAGGAACTACAACTCCCAAGCTGTTCCGCAGCTTTGGCTGCTCCAGCCTTAGACTTCACCATCCCGGGGGTCCGATAGCGTCTTACCGTCCAGCCCTCTTAGTGGCCTCAAGGGTTTGTTTTTGTTTTTTTTTTCTTCTAAGAGTGTTCAGGGGTATCTTAGGAATTAAGTTTCTTAATTTTGAAGTTTCCCCCAGACTCTCATGGGTGTTGTTTTCTGACTTTCTTGCTTAAGCAGAGCCCAGTGGCTGATGGGGATTGTAGTCCATCTACCTTTTTTTCTTTAGTGTCCCCAGGACTTATGGGAAATGTACGACCCTTGGGTTTAGCTACGAAAAAGATACAGATGCCTAGCTCCTGCTTCCAGATAATTCTTATTCTTTTGGTCTGGGGTGAGGACCATGCATCTGTTTTTTGTTTGTTTGTTTTTTCAAAGACAACTAGGCTGGATCCGGTGTTGAGAACCACCGGTTAGCGGTTCCTGGGTTCTCTTTTGAGACTGCTCCGAGGGCTAGTGGGAATCCTGCCTCCAGTATCATTATCTTGAACGTGCAGCGGTGCTTCGTGGGAATTATAGTCCATCTCTTCCAGGAATCCATGGGAACTGTAGTCTGTTCTGCTCTCCTCTTCCTATCCTCCCACCCTGATGCACCCTCTACACCCCCCACCTCCTACTCCTCCCGGGCTGATCTCACTCTCCCCTTGCAGCCTCCCAGCTTTCTCCACTCAAGACTGCCCCTTTGGGGATGCTCCCCTGGGTCAAAGCTAGACGTGGTACCCCAAGGTGAGGACACCCCACGGAGAGTCCTGTGTGCCAGCCCAGTAGCAAGGGAGTGAAGATCTGTGATAAGAGATGCGGGTAAGAGATTAAGGGACACTCCCTCCTCCCCTCCCCGTGGCCCTCCCTTATCCAGTCCTCTACCACCATCACAGCCTCATTTACTCTGAGTTGTTACCATTGTGAGATGCATTTCCTCCCCTCTGGACTAAGACTTCATGTGTGTCTTTGTTCCCTACAGGGATGTCACCTTTTCTTCTCCCCACTTCTCCTATCTTAGATCCTGAGCCCATCCAGGTCCCAGAGATCCAGGATCCCAGAAACTTCCAAGGCTCTGGCCACGGATCCCAACTCCCATGAGCTGTTTGAGAAGTCCTGGCCATCCAGCTCAGGGACCCCATCCCCACCCAGCACCACTGAGGAACAGATGGGTGCCTCCCCACCACCCACCCTGATTGACACTGGTGACTCTGTGGTGGCCAAGTAAGTACCATCAGCCCTGAGGGCAAGAAAGGTTGGAGGGTGGGGGGAGGCATCCTGTAATAATCACCACAGCCAATGCTATTTATATAGCATTTTCAGGACCATACTTCATGTGTGTTAAGAGCTCTGGAGCTAGGCTGCCTAGGTTCAAATCCCAGCTCTTTCATTCTCTGTATGATCTTGGCTTAAGTTTTTTTGACTGTAAATTGGGGATATGAATAACATTTCCCCTAGGGCTGTTTAAGTTTTCGGTGAGTTCCTTACTGTCTGTAAAGCTTCTATAACAATGCTTGTNCCTCCCGGGCTGATCTCACTCTCCCCTTGCAGCCTCCCAGCTTTCTCCACTCAAGACTGCCCCTTTGGGGATGCTCCCCTGGGTCAAAGCTAGACGTGGTACCCCAAGGTGAGGACACCCCACGGAGAGTCCTGTGTGCCAGCCCAGTAGCAAGGGAGTGAAGATCTGTGATAAGAGATGCGGGTAAGAGATTAAGGGACACTCCCTCCTCCCCTCCCCGTGGCCCTCCCTTATCCAGTCCTCTACCACCATCACAGCCTCATTTACTCTGAGTTGTTACCATTGTGAGATGCATTTCCTCCCCTCTGGACTAAGACTTCATGTGTGTCTTTGTTCCCTACAGGGATGTCACCTTTTCTTCTCCCCACTTCTCCTATCTTAGATCCTGAGCCCATCCAGGTCCCAGAGATCCAGGATCCCAGAAACTTCCAAGGCTCTGGCCACGGATCCCAACTCCCATGAGCTGTTTGAGAAGTCCTGGCCATCCAGCTCAGGGACCCCATCCCCACCCAGCACCACTGAGGAACAGATGGGTGCCTCCCCACCACCCACCCTGATTGACACTGGTGACTCTGTGGTGGCCAAGTAAGTACCATCAGCCCTGAGGGCAAGAAAGGTTGGAGGGTGGGGGGAGGCATCCTGTAATAATCACCACAGCCAATGCTATTTATATAGCATTTTCAGGACCATACTTCATGTGTGTTAAGAGCTCTGGAGCTAGGCTGCCTAGGTTCAAATCCCAGCTCTTTCATTCTCTGTATGATCTTGGCTTAAGTTTTTTTGACTGTAAATTGGGGATATGAATAACATTTCCCCTAGGGCTGTTTAAGTTTTCGGTGAGTTCCTTACTGTCTGTAAAGCTTCTATAACAATGCTTGTCACAGCCCGGCCAGGCGTGGCTCAGCGGTTGAGCGTCGACCTAGGATCCAGGCGATCGGGGTTCGATTCCCGGTCAGGGCACATGCCCGGTTGTGGGCTTGATCAATGACTCTCTCATCGTTGATGTTTCTGCCTCTCTCTCTCCCCCTCCTTTCCTCTCTCTGAAATCAATAAAGATATATTTAAAAAAACAACAATGCTTGTCACATAGTGAGCACTTGGATTTGTAAGACACAAGTTCAGCTGCCATAACAAAGAGTCCAAAATTAATTGTGGCTTAAACAAGATAGTATTTATTTCTCCCTCACCTAACAGGCAGAAGCAACCAGGGTTGATATGACAGCCCCTAGTTGAGGTGTCAGAAATGGTTTCCTTCTATCTTGTTGCCCTCCAACCCCCAGGCTGTTGCCCTTTCCTTCATGGACCAAAATGGCTCCCAACATCCATTATTCAGAATCACATCTCTTTATACCCTGTTAGTCAAGAACCCAGTTACATGGCCATAAAGCTACAAGGGCACCTGGTAAATGTATCTATGGAAGAGTGGCTGTGTGTCCACTACAAGTCTTACCTAATATTGTATTACTATATAAGAAAAGAGAATGGATATTGAGGGACAACTATCAGGTGCTGCCATGGTGTTCAGTAAGCATTGGCTATTGTGATTATTATTGTGATTATTATTTGACTCTCCTTACCCCACCTGCCTCCCATTCTCTGATGCCCACAGGTTCATAAACCGGTTCCGCCAGGCTCAGCCCACAAGCCGAGAGGAACGCCAGCCTGCAGGCCCAACGCCAGCTGACTTTTGGTGGCTGCGGCCTGAATGTCCAGACCCTAGTAGCCAACTTGCAGCAGGTATTTGCTTCAGTCCCATCCACCTCCTGGCTTAAAACCTTCCTTGTTCAGTGCTCTCAGTAGCCACTCCTCCTGGTCTTCCTAAGTCAATTGGGGCTTCTCAGCAGGAGCCAGTAAACCAGAAGGAAGACTCAACACAGCAGTCCCAACTTTTGCCAAGGTTTCCAGTGCATCACAGGCTAAGGCTATGGCCCCCCTTCAGGAAATAAAGCAGGTGACATCCCCATCTCCTCCTTCCCCTGTGTTACCTGAACTGACAGCACCAGCCCTGGGATAGAATTAGAGTCAATCCCCAATTCAAGGAAGCATAAACAAACAAAAAACAACAACAAAAACAAAAAAGAGGATTTTTTTGCTAATGCAATTAAAAAGTCCAAAAGTAGGTGCTTTCAGGCATGGCTGGATCCAGGTGTTTGAACACTATTGGGAAGAACTCAGCTGTTTTGGCTTTCTGTTCTTTTTTGTTGGGCTCAGTCTCAGGCAGGCTTTCCCCTCAAAGTAGCTAAGATGGCCCCAGTAGTTTTAGTCTTCTAACTTATTTAGTCCTTAGGAAAGAGGAGACTTTTCCATTAGCTCCATCCAAAGCCCTAGGGCTTACTCTCATTGGCTCACAGTCACTGTAAAACAGAGGATAGAATGTTGTGATTAGCCATGCCTGATCAGGAAGGTAGGGCCAACCCTTCTCCTACGACAATGATTGCATTAGGGGAGGGAGGTGGATCCACAGAGGAAAACGGTGTCACACTTCCCTGAGGAGGAAGAGCAGATTCTAAGCCAGCATGTGAGGGTACCAGGTGGAGTGCAGATGTGTGCTCCAGGCCCTCTGTCTGGAGCCCTTTTGTGAGCAGCCTTCGGATGGCGGCTGGCCTCTGACCCTCTCACCTCACAGAGCCTCAACACATGGAACTCATCCCTGCTGGACCTGGAGATGCTGAGCCTGCAAAGCAGAGCTGCCAGGCTGCTGAAACACAGGTGCTTTCCCTGCCCCCATCACCCTCCCACTCCTACAACTCCAGGCCCCACCCACTGCCTCTGAGACCCCTGTTGCCTCACTTCTGTCTTCTTCCTACAGCAAGGCCTCGGTCTCCTCCTCCTCCCGCAGCCCCAGCAATTCCAGCAATTCCTTATTCCCTGACAGCTCTGATGGTCTTTCTCCCTCCTCTATGACCGTCACCCCTGACTCCAGCAAGGGCTCTGACTGCACGGCACATGGTGAGTTCTGGAGAGCAAGGATTGAGGGCAGTCAGTGTGAATCCCACTTCTGCCACTAACCAGCCATGTGACCTTGGGCCTCTCTGGGCCTTCCTTGTGTCCCCAACTTTAAAACAGGGATAATAATTGTACTCTTCTGCTTTGGGTGCTGTGAAGGTTAAATTAGTTGGTAAATACAAGGAGTTCCTAGCACCACTCTGCTAATAGTAGCGATCATTAATATGACAGGTTCTCTCTATCCTCTCTGCCTCTCTGAACTCAAAGCTCCAAAATCAGAAGGCTTTTTGCAAATTTGGCACCAGGCTTGATTTGACAGCAAAATCTGATCTCAACAATAAGAAGGATATTTATAATCTATCTGTCTGTCTGTCTGTCTATCTACCTACCTATCTACCTATCATTTTGGGCAACTTCATACTTTTTGCTATGGATATATTACATTGAACCATATGAAATTTTGCCTTTGTAAGTAAAAAATGATTAAATATTGGCAATTGCATATTGTTCAACCAAATACCAGTGTGTTTGAGTCAGGTGTACTGCATCAGACCCCTGTCTGCACTGTGCATACCATGCAATTTTGCTAAAACATGCAAACTGTTGAACTCACAAATATCTGCCCCCAAGATTTCCGAGATAAGATTAAGGACCTGGCTTACTATTACTGCCATCATTGTTGTCACTTTTACTCTGTGCCCAGGTCCTGGGATGCAGTGGAGCACAGGACAGGTGCTCTGTGTGTCTCATAGGGCTCCCATGAGTGGGGACAGGCAAGCACAAGTAACCAGAGAGGTGTTCATGCATGTTGTGTGATCCTGCTCAAGCACTTGCCTGTCTGATTCTTCCTTGCATCTAAGCTTCACCTTTCCTTTCGGAGCCTCAGTTTTCTCTTCTGTAAAATGGGGATAAAACTAGCACCTACTTCATGATGTTTTTTGCAGATCAAATTTATTCATTCAATCATGTGTATGCTGCCTACTGTGTATGAGGCCCTGTGAGCAGGGTTAGATTCCACAGTGAACCAACCATTCATAGTCTTATCTTCAGGCTTCTCACAGCATAGTGAGTGTAGGGCAGAGAGAAGCTCCATAACCCCACAAACAAATGTGAAATGTAAGCAGGAGAGGATTGTGATGCTGGGAATTCAGAGAAGGCCTTCCCAAGAGAGATGCTATCTAAGTGGAGACCTGAATGATGAAGGTGGGGACAAGAGCCCTCTAGGATGAACAGAGGACCTTAAGTGGGAGGAAGCGTGGTGCAGACAATGAATGAGAAAAGGCAAGAGCCAGAGGTGAGAGTAGTATGGGATGAGGGAAGGATTGGCAGGGGTCAGATTACATTGGGCCATGTAGGCCTGGGGAGGCATTTGGCCATTATTTTAGGACTAGGGAGCCACGAGAGCTTTCTGAGCGGGGACGGTACATGATCTTCCTTGAGTGTTAACAAACCCCCTGGCTGCTATCAATGCCAGTGAGAGATGCTGATAGTTTGGCTTGGGCCAGAGCCTGAGGAGCAGAGTAAAGGGAAGTGGGAAGTAGAATCACAGGATTCTCTTCACACATGTTTTTGGGGGATATAGAGGTGAGGTGAGGAGAGAGAGGTCCGAGATGATGCCCCCTTCTCTGTGCAGCACCACATGGTCAGGCTTCTCTGAAAGACAGTGGTAGCCCTACTGATCATCGCTGTAGAAATAATGCTCTGGGTAATGGGAAAGATGTCCTTTTGCCCTCCTGGACTGAGGAAGCCAGTGGCCCTGTCCTGAGCCAGAACACTGCCTGGCTCAACAGTAAGAGTTCATAAGCATTTGTTGATGAAGGAAGAATTGAATGATGACAAGGTGGAAAGTCCATGAGTCCTCTCTCCTCTGACTCTACCCCTTCCCCACTTCCACTCCAGACGGGAGTTGGGACATTATCCGGAGAGCCTGTGTGAATACTGGCACAGTTGAAGGGTGTGTGCATAGGCTGTCACCTGGCTTCTCATCCCCCAGCTCCCGTCTTACCCATTCTTCCCTCTACTTACCCCACAGCAACTCCGGCACCAGCCCTCATTCCTGCTCCAGCCCTGGTCTCCTCCCAGGCACCCCTGCGGCCAGAGGATGACATTCTGTACCAGTGGCGGCAGCGGCGGAAGCTTGAACAGGCTCGAGGAGGTCAGGGTGACGGAACCTGGGTGCCGCCAGGGACCTCTGCCCTCACTACTCCGGTGAGCTGGGGGAGGGAGGCACCTGAGGGGCTGAGGGGGATCCTAAGGGAAGTTGGAGGAAGGGGGGCCTGAGTGGGACTGAGGACACTCTCTCTCCCCCTCAGGTCCCTGTCCCCATCTGTCAGCAGAACTCACCTGCCCCTGTGGAGACCCTTGGTTCCCTGGGAACACAGCCTAACTGTATCCCACTTTGGGGCAGTGTGGCCCGGCCTGGTCCCCAGGAAGCCATCTGTGCAGAGAGGCCGCCTATCCCCCCAGGGTTCTTTCCACACATCTTTCAGGGCCCCTACCCCCATGGGTTTTTCTGGGCCCCACAGACCGCACCCTGGGTACCTTTTGGGGGCATCCCCCCCGCGCCCTGGGTCTCTACTCCTGCTCCCCCTACCGCCCCCCAGGCCCTGCCTACCCCTGCGCCGTGCAGCCCCGCCCCGCTCGAGAAGCAGAGCCCCAAGCCTCGGAAGGGTAGAGCCCGGCGTCCAGAATCTTCTGGGCCAGTCAGGGTGGCTGACCAGGGGCCTGGCCCGCAGCTCCGAGGCCCTCTAGGTCAAGTAGTGACCGCTCGGCTCTTCCCCGACGGCCTGGAGGACACGCCCCCTCGCCTCAAGGACCTGCCTCCACCCCTGGCTGAATCTCCGAAAATCAAGACCGCACACCCCCAAACCAAGGTTATGCCCCCTTGCTCTGAAGTCGCCTCCGCTCCATCTAATTCACGGTTTCCTGCGGCGGAGACCCCACCCTGTGGGCCTGAGGCTGAGCCTCGGGGTGCCCAGGCCACGCCCCCCGCAGCGGGGCCCGCCCTTTGCGGGGAAGGCCGGCAGCCTCAGCGCAAGGCCCCGCCCCCTCCGGCTGAAGTTGCTTCCACACGGGTCGAGGCCCCGCCCCCTCTGCTCGAGGCGGGGTCTCCGGAGCCTGCGGTCACCTCCTCCCCGGCTGCTGGCCACGCCCCCCCGGAGGACCTGCTCCTGCAGGCCGCCCGGCTGCTGCAGGCTGCTGAAGGTGAGCGGAGGCGAGGCTGCTGGGGTCCCGACGGCTGCCCCTCACGCTGGAGGCCAGCCCCCGGGAGCTCGCTCTTTTCCGCGCAGACTCCGACGGCAGCGAGTTCCAGGAGGACCCTGTACTGCAGGTGCTAAGGGTTCAGAGGGCGGAGCTGCGGCGGCAGAAAAGGTGACTATCTCCAGGATTTACGACACCAGGCCCTTGAATCTTCTGAGACTACAGTCGATTGCCCACCTGTCTCTCTCTTTTTAAAAAAAATAGAAATTTATTTCAGAGAGAGGAAGGGAGAGAGAGAGAGAAACATCAATGACGGAGAGAGTCATTGATTGGCTGCTTCCTGCACGCCCCCGACTGGGGATCCAGCCCACAACCTCAGCATGTGTCCAGACTGGGAATCAAACCTAAATCTCCTGGATCTTAGATCGATGCTCAACTGCTGAGCCATACCCGGCTGGGCACCCACATCTCTTGAACCCCTTTCCCAGAACTGTCCACAGCTCCAGACCCCATTCCTGAGCACATACCTCAGCCTCTACTGCCTGGCTTCTTTTTTCCAGGAAAGTGGATGCCCAATTATCCCTCCTGCTGGGCTACACTGAAGACCCAGGGTCTTGGTCTCCTCCAGCTACATCACCCCCCAGATCCCCAAAGATGCGGCTGAGGAGGGAAGGAGCCTCACTTGAGGCCAGAAGACTTTGAAGTGTACAAATTGTTTTTCTCAATGAAATGCTCTTTTCAGGTTACAAGTTGTGTCTGAGGAGAGTCTTGCTAATTTAGGAAAATGACTCCTCCCTGCTCCTCCCCGGTCCTGCCCTACCCCCACCCTAGTCACTGATCTGTGACACAGAATCTCCTCTGATTTCACCCTCTTTGAGGGCAAGGCAGGGGAGAGGATCTAGGCAAGACTTCAGGCAAGACTGGGACTCGCCTTGACTCAAGAATGGATCCTCCTGTCTCAGATGAGACAGAAGGACTGTCCTCTTGGCATGAAGCTAATGGGGTTATCAGAGTGTTGGACAATGGTTGTCCTCAGTCCACATCCTGCTTGAACCAGCAGCAGCATTTGGTGCATGGATCCCTTCCCCCTTGAAGCATTTCCTTCCCTGCTTCTAGCATCAGCAACCTGTCACTTTGGCGTGTCCCAGGGCTCAGGCCTTGACTTCTCCATCTACACTCATCCCCAGGTGCTGTTGTAGCTTCATGGCTCTAAACCCTATCTCTGTTCTGATAGTCCCTAAATTTCTATCTTTAGCCTAGTCCTGGCCACTAAACGTCAGGCCTCTATATCCTGCTACCTGTAGCTCACTGTCCTCACTCAAAAGTCTAAGGGATGTCTTAAACTACACAGGTCTTAAACTGAGCTCCCAGTCTTCCCCTAAACCTGCCCCTCCCACACTCTCCTCAGCTTCATTCTTCCTGCTCAGTCCAAAAGCCTCATGGTCATCCTCGACTCCTCCCTTTTCCTCGCACCCACAGTCAGTTGGCCAGCAAGTCCCGTCACGCCTGCCTTTAAAATCTATCCAGATTTTAACCCCTTCTGCCCTTTTCATGGCCTTCACCCTAGTCTAGGCTATCATTATCCATCTGGACTATTAAAAACCAATTGTTTTCTCTGTGAGTTCTTTGAAACATTTCCTATCAAAAGGTAGAATCTAGGTTTCTTCTTCTTGAAATTGGGTAGGACTTTGTGACCGCCTCCATAAACAGAATGCAGAGGAAGTGATACTGCTTTAAATTTCTAAACTGGATTAGAAAAGATGATACAATTTCCACCTGTTTCTCTCCCTTTCTCTTTGGAGCCCTGGGCTGCCATATAAAAAGTCCCATGCGGGGTAGGGATTTGTGTTATACAGGTGTGTGCACATTGTCAAAATGCAGCGAAATTTTTGAATTTCATTGTATGTAAAGTTTACCTCAAGAAAAACAAATATTGAACTCTAGTTAAAGATATGCATACTGAAGTATTTAGGGGACAGTATACCAATGTCTATTTTATTTTGAAATACATTTAAAAATTAGATTAATGGATGAATAGAGTAATAGGTGGATGTGAGATAAAGCAAACAGTAAAATGTTAATGTAAGATCTAAGTGGTGGATATTTGAGTGTCCATTGTAAATTGTTCAACTGTGCTGTATGTTAGAAACTTTTCATAATAAAATGTTGAAGAATATATAATCAGGGTAATTGACATCTATTTTAAAAAGGGAGGGTGGAATAGATTTCTATAAAAAGTAGCTTCTGTACATCAGAGACATGATAAATATTTGTTTTTAGCCTTTTTGAACAAACCACAAATTTAAATTAAACCCACAAGAAGAAAATAGAAGTTTAGATATAAGAAGAAATAAAAGATGTTTATAGTAGAAGAACCTGATCTAGCTGCAGGGTGAGTAGGGCCTAAAAGGATTCCTGAAGAAGTTACATTTAAACTGAGACAGGTAGAAATTAACTAGTTGACAAAGTGCCATTTCAATTACTATTGCTGGGTTACAAACCACTCCCAAAGCTTAGTGACATAAAACAATCTGGCACCAGGTCTCAGATGATGAGCTGGAACTATGGGCTATAGTACCTACACATGATTTCCATGTGGCTTGGGCTTCCTCAAAACATGACTGCCTCAAAAAAAAAACCCAAAACCAAACAAAAGAAGCAGCTTTTTGGCTCTTTCTCAAATCTCGTCTGGTTCAGCCTCTTTGCCTCCACTCCAGCCTCCACCATATCCACAAGGGTGACCCAGAAGACCTAAAAGGTGTCCACCTTGGGCCCCTGGGCCTTCAGCAGCCACTTGTACCCAAGTGGCCCTGGCACCCAGCTCCTTGTCCTTTTTTCAGGTGGGCAGCAGCTACTGGGGTGGCCTGGGCACCAACAAGAGTCTGGCTGGGGGGTTCCGCAGGGTTGGGAGCATGGGGAGCATCACAGCTCTCCAAGTGAACCAGAGCCCGCTGAGCCCCCTGAAGCTGGAGGTGGACCCTAACATCCAGGCCATGTGCAACCAGAAAGAGGAGACTATCAAGACCCACAGCAACAAATTTGCTTCCTTCATCAATAAGGTGCTGAGCCTGGAACAGCAAAATAAGGTTCTGGAGACCAAATGGAACCTCCTGCAGCAGCAGCAGGTGACTCAAAGTAACAGGGACAACATGCTCAAGAGCTATATCAACAATCTTTGGCGGCAGCTGGACACACTGGCCCAGGAGAAAGTGAGGCTGGGAGCAGAATTTGGCAACATGCAGGGAGTGGTGGAGGACTTGAAGAATCAGTACATGGATGAGATCAACAAGCATTCAGAGATGGAGAATGAATTTGCCACAAGGATGTGGCTGAAACTTACATGAACAAAGGTAGAGCTGGAGTCCCGCCTGGAAGGGTTGACTGATGAGACTGATTCTACAGGCAGCTGTATGAAGGGGAGATTTGTGAACTGCAGTCCCAGATCTCCAACACATCCGTGGTTCTGTCCACAGACAACAACCATTCCCTGGACCTGAATGGCATCATCACCGAGGTCAAGGCCCAATACAAGGAGATTGCCAACTGAAGCCAGGCTGAGACTGAGACCATGTACCAGATGAAGTATTAGGAGCTACAGACGTTGGCTGGGAAGCAGGGGGATGACCTCCATCACATGAATACAGACTTCTGAGATGAACCAAAACCAGAACATCAGCTGAGATGAACCAAAACCAGAACATCAGGCTGAGATGGAGGGTTTAAAGGCCAGAGAGCTTTCCTGGAGGCCACCGCTGCTGATGCTGAGCCCTGTGGGGAGCTGGCTATCAAGGATGCTCAGGCCAAGGTGGCTGAGCTAGAAGGTGCTCTGTAAAACGTCAGGCAGGACATGGCCTGGCAGCTGCGTGAGTACCAGGAACTCATGAACATCAAGCTGGTCCTGGACATGGAGATCGCCACCTACGGAAAGCTGCTTGAGGGCAAGGAGAACTGGCTGGATTCTGGGATGCAGAACATGAGTATCCACACCAAGACCACCAGCAGCTACTCAGGTGTGCTGAGCCCATCTTATGGGAACCTCAGCTATGGTCTGGGCTTCCAGGCCAACTTGGGCTCTGGCAGGAGCTCTGGCTCCTTCAGCCGCATCAGCTCCTCCAAGATGGTAGTTATGAAGAAGATTGAGATCCTTGATGGATGTTGGTGTCTGAGTCATCTGATGTCTTGCCCAAGTGAATGACTACTGTCCTCCAAGCCTGTGGGAAAGGAGCTGTGGAGGGGAATGGCAGGCCCAGGAGACCTGCCTGAGGCTCAGCCCCAGTTCTTAGCTCACTCTTGGGGTGGGGGAGCTTACTGCCTGGGGGACTACCTCTTTCCCATACCCCCCAACTAAAAGCCAAATCAAGTGAGTTTTCCCCAAAAAATAAAGCCTCAGCTGGCTCTGCCAACACTAAAAACACACACACAGCAACAACAAACATAACTACCTCAGGATAATCACATTTCTCACATGCTCAACAAGCCTAGAGCTAGTCACTCCAGTAGACAAGGAGGCAGCTGCAATGCATCTTACAACCTAGCCTTGGAAGTCACATTCTCTATGAGTTGAAGTTGTCACAATTCTGCTCAGATTCAAAGGGGGGGGGGGGATGCACACTCTACCTTTTCATGAGAGAAGTGTCAAAAGAATTTGGAGCCACCAGAGGTTGAGTGGGGAGAGAGGACTATTCCAGGTAGTGGGAACATCACATGGGAGGTATCTGTGATGGGAGCGAGGTCTGCAAATTTAATAAATTGAAGTAACTGTAAGTTGGCCCCTCCCCCAGGGTTCCCTTTCCCCAATCCCTGCTTAACTTTTACCTGTAGAACTTACCACCTCCTAATATTCTGTATTTTTAAATATTTATTTTGTTCATTGTTTTCTCCCACTAGCTTTTGAGTTTCATGTGGGCAGGGTATATTTTCCCATTTTGTTTACTGGTGTGTCCACAAATTAGATAAGTGATGGGAGTTTTTGAATGAATGAGTAGATGGGTCAAGGATGTACCTTCTTAGGTGAGAACCTTGTTGAGGGCACGAACAGTGAGAGAGGTTTCTTGGAAAGAGCATTGTTAGTGTTTCCTGAACCCGGTACAGTGAGCAGCAGGAACGATTGGGATTGGCTTTACGGAAGGATGGCCATGTTCTGGCATTTTGGGCTAAACTTATTCCTAGGAAAAAGGATTCAAGGCTGGATGCCAGCCTGTAATACGCAGTAGAGAAGGCAAGGGGAATATCCAGTGGGCAGGGCCAAGCTGCAGAGTGCCCAGGATTATGTCCCAGGCAGGGCATCTGGGCCAGCAGAAACTGTCCACGGCCCATGTCCTCAGTATTTTGTGAACACGGTTGGGGTCTAGGCTGACAAGGTGGGGCCTAGAGGACTGAACTTTGAAAAGCTGCTTGGGGATGGAGAAAAGCCCCGAGCCCGTGGGAGAGCCGCGCGAGCGGCGGCTGAGGGTGCGCTAAGAGCAGCGAAGCTGCCAGAACCCGGGGAGGGGCGTCTCCCGAGGGGAGTGACAGGCGGCGGGAGCAATCGCGGGCGTGGCGCTGTCAAACTTCTCGGGCGGGGCCGAAGAGCTCCAGCCGGGAATGGTACTCAAGCCGAAGCCAATGAGAAGCCGCCGGGTGGGTGGGGCGTCCTACCCACGGTCCCCGCCCCCGTGGGGCAGAGCGCGAGCTCCTGGCAGCGGTTAGAGGCGGAGCCTGCAGCCGCCCGCGCGCGGCTCGCGCCCTCCCCTTTGTGTCGCCATGGCGGCGGCATCGGCGACGAAGACGACGACCGAGGGGTCTGGCGCCGCCAGCGCCTGAGGAGGCCACGCGACCATGGTGGTGAGGGGCCCACGCGGCCGTCAGTCCGCCCGCGCGGCAGTCTGTCCATGCAC